GGCAGCTTTGATGGCACCGAGAGTTCTGAATTTAACCAGCAGCAAATATTTCTCAGGGCCATATGGTATTTGAAAAGGCATATTTAGAAAGAAAAAAATATGCTTATAACATGTGAAAAAAATGAGATTGGTTACTGTATTTGATCTTCTTATCCACAGGGGAAGATGTTATCTTCATTGCCAATGATTGGCACACAGCTCCGCTTCCATGCTACTTAAAGACCCTTTACCAATCTAGAGGAATCTACATGAATGCCAAGGTAAGAATGTAAGATGCATATTATTTGCTCAACTAAACATCACAAAAAAATGTTACAGAATTAAGCTGGTATTTCCATTCTGACGTTGGACTGAAATTGTTACAGGTTGCTTTTTGCATCCACAACATTGCATATCAGGGAAGGTTTGCATTTTCTGACTTTCCTCTTCTCGGTCTGCCTGACAGCTACAAAAGTTCCTTTGATTTCATTGATGGGTATGAGCAACGACCTATAGAATTGGCACAAAACTGAAGAATTAATTTATTACTGGTCAAAATTCTGAACAGGCATGGATGTCATTAATGGTTGCAGGTATGAGAAGCCGGTAAAGGGAAGGAAAATTAACTGGATGAAGGCTGGAATTTTAGAATCACACCGGGTTCTAACAGTGAGCCCTTACTATGCCCATGAACTTGTTTCTGGAGTTGACAAGGGTGTAGAATTGGACAACATCATTCGTAGGACTGGCATAACTGGCATCATAAATGGCATGGATACCCAAGAGTGGAATCCTTCAACTGATAAATACATTGATGTCCACTACGATAGTACAACTGTAAGAACTTTATACTTCTTAGTTCTTACTATGCAAGGCTAAGAAAAGAGAGATTTTTGCATATAATAATCACAACCTGTTAGTGATAATTTAGAGTCCTCTGGCCTGAAAAGCATTTACATGTATGGTTACAGGTTATGGATGCGAAGTGTTTGTTGAAGGAAGCTCTTCAAGCAGCAGTTGGATTGCCAGTGGACAGGAACATTCCTGTGATTGGATTTATTGGAAGACTCGAAGAGCAAAAAGGCTCAGATATTCTCACTGCTGCCATTCCAAAGTTTATTGGAATGAATGTGCAGATAATAATACTTGTAAGTTGTAAATGAAATCCTTAAGCCTTCATGTCTAGGTGTCTGTTTTGACAGAAACAGAGATTGAACTAAATTGACAAGATCTGTTCTATCAGGGAACTGGCAAGAAAAGATTGGAGCAACAGATTAAACAGCTCGAGGTGTTGTATCCTGATAAAGCTAGAGGAGTGGTAAAATTCAACGTTTCCTTGGCTCACATGATCATTGCTGGCGCCGATTACATGTTAATCCCAAGTAGATTTGAACCTTGTGGTCTCATCCAGTTGCATGCTATGAGATATGGAACTGTAAGGACATTAGAATATTGTAGACTTTTTTTGGCTGAAGTTTTCTCACTTCCCAAATGTTTAATTGTGATTTTATTTGTTCAGCTTTGATCTGTTTTTAATATTAAAACTGTGTGAACCAGATACCCATCTGTGCCTCAACTGGTGGTCTTGTTGACACTGTGAAAGAAGGATTCACTGGGTTCCAAATGGGAGATTTCAATGTTGAAGTATGGAGTTCAATATTTTCTCTCCAGTCATAAATTGTGAAAACGTATGAACTACTTTCACTATAGGATACTAAATGAATCCTCTTTGTATGATCAGTGTGCCAAAATCGACCCTGCTGATGTGCTTAAGATAGTTGTGGCTGTCGGCAGAGCTCTAGCAGTCTATGGTACACTTGCTTTCAGAGAAATGATAAAAAATTGCATGTCACAGGATCTCTCCTGGAAGGTAGGCATTTACCGAAGCTTCTGTATATGAACAAGTGCGGAATGAATATTTTTCCTAACTCATTGTCCTCGTATAGGGCCCTGCGAAGAACTGGGAACTGATGCTGCTGAGCTTAGGGGCTGCTAACAGCAAACCTGGGATTGAAGGGGAGGAAATTGCTCCACTCTCCAAGGAAAACGTAGCCACACCATGATGACTTTTATGTTCCATGCAACTCTAGTCCAGGCTCGACAAAGTGACGAGGTGTCGAGTGAATTACAAAGTACAAGATGGTTTCTGATTTGTTTTGTTATCCAGTAGTACTCTAGAGCAGGCGTTATCAAATGAAATATTTTGTGTATGGTGAAGATGGGCTGGTGGTGTAATTCTAGATAATAGTAATTAGTGGGCTGGTGGTGTAATTCTAGATAATAGTAATTAGTAAGTACTAAGTAATGAATACCAACTACAAATGCTAAGCTTTGTTTTGACTTTTAAGGGACTCGAGAATTTGCTTTAGCGCCACTATGTAAAAAAAATAAATAAATTTTATCCATGGGAAGTTTCTCATTATTAAGAACTCTTTATCTTGTTATGCCTTTGTATTATATACCAGCCCTCTGATAATTCGAATCAAAGGATTTGTCCTCGTTGAAATGAAAACTTGTGGAAGTATTTTACTATCGGCCCCCGAGCCACGTTAAAATTCGCATTCTCATTCTTCTACTCATTTTCAATCATACATTTTCAATAAAGTAATATTTTCTATCATATCAATAACTTTTCCTTCTTTTTCAACCATACATTCTCTATGAATTTACTATTCTAAAATACATTCTTCCAAAATAATGTGATTCAAACACACAAGTGAACTTGTGAAGCAGCAATAGCCAGATAAATTAGCTTTTAAGACCCCCACCCCATGTGAATAGTTTTTGTACGATATTATCAACAGAAGTATGAGATGTGTGATTTTAGGGCAATGAAAGTCGAATAAAATTAAGAGTACAATATTGGTTGACAACAATGATTGACAATCATGTGTTGTTAAAATCTAAGCATGTGATGCAGAAAACAGTTTTTAAAAATGAATGAATATGATGATGTCAATATTGTATGTAGCATGAGTCATCACGAAAGCCAGACACAGAATCTGGGTATTCCAAGACAACAAGAAGAGATTTGAATAAAAAAGGATTTCAAATGTGAAATGGCAACCATGTGAACTTTGTCGGTACAAATATCTTCCCATACTAATCATTAATATTTCGTTGTTCATTCAAGTTTTATTACATGATTACATAAAACACACTCTTTAAACTTGGAGATAATTTTTTCTACACAATTTAATAATAATATCTATTTTGAATCTTTATTTATTTATTTTCTTTTAAAAGAAATATCTCATCTTTTATTTGACGTATATATATATATGAATGACCAATCAATTTAAATAATTTAAGAAATAAAGTATTGAAATACGATATTTATTAAATAATATCTTTATAAGATAAGAATTAGGGAACAAGTTTGACTCTTTATTTTGAAAAATTAAAATAGACAATTCATTAAACTTATTTTAATGCATCGTTTCTCAAAAATAAAGAGTATCTTGCATTTAGAGTTTCTTAAAAATGTTCAATGAATTCAAATTCTAACTTTGAGGGACAAATTAATTAGTATTAATCCTCTTTAGATTATGTATAATTCTATTCATCCGGTGTCTATTTGATCGTCAATTTATGTGGCGGTAATATCACATTATTCAACGTATAAAAAATTATTCAACGTTCATTAAACAATGTGACAATAATCCAATATCATATAAATTCTAGGTGAATAACGTTACTCTTGGATTGGATATTTAAAACAAAAAGTTGTAATTTAAAAATATTTAGCATATTTTGGAATTTCATTTTTTTTACTAAAAAAGTTATATTTCAAAATCAAATATTAACTTTAACTACCCATTTTATTGGATTTGCAAGTGTTATCCACTAATCAAATTGGGGTGGCTATAGCACACTATGTTATAACACCAATTTAGATGTCACTAAATGTCATTAAATGAAATATATAAATAAATGATTCATATAACTTCACCTTTAAATTGAACCTATCAGCACCACTAATGTTAAATATCATCGTTCTTTTTTAATTATATAGTTGATAATTAATTCATGTCTGGTTTAGATAAAAATTAGATTTTTAGTAAATTTTGATAAAAATTGTTTGAATGTGTGATTGAAAAATTGTAAATTTCATAAAATTTGTGAGTAAGCTCCCATTTGAGCCACCTTTTTATCTCATTAAAATGAAAAATATGACCGTTATCCATCACATCAACATTTAAATTTAAATTTTCTATCTCTTATGTGGGCCTCAATAAAGGCTATATTTTTTATTCTCATTCTACAAAAAGCATATTTTGGAATTTCATTTTTTTACTAAAAAAGTTATATTTCAAAATCAAATATTAACTTTAACTACCCATTTTATTGGATTTGCAGGTGTTATCCACTAATCAAATTGGGTGGCTATAGCACACTATGTTATAACACCAATTTAGATGTCACTAAATGTCATTAAATGAAATATATAAATAAATGAATCATATAACTTCACCTTTAAGTTGAACCTATTACATAAATTGGTGCTCTGGCACCACTAATGTTAAATATCATTGTTCTTTTTTAATTATATAGTTGATAAGTAATTCATGTTTGGTTTAGATTAAAATTAGATTTTTAGTAAATTTTGATAAAAATTGTTTGAATGTGTGATTGAAAAATTGTAAATTTCATAAACTTTGTGAGTAAGCTCCCGTTTATGTCACATTTTTATCTCATTAAAATGAAAAATATGATCGTTATCCATCACATCAACATTTAAATTCAAATTTTTTATCTCTTGTGTGGATCCTAATAACGATTATATTTTTCACTCCCATTCTACAAAAAAGTGACTGAAAGAGGGCCTAAAATTAATGGTTGATTTTTAATTCAATTTTTTATTTGGAGCAAACGGGGACTTGGACGTTTTACAGGTGTACAGTACGCACCACTATACTCTCTATACCTATAGCCAGCTGTCTTCTGTCTCACGATATTATTACCCTTACTCTCTTGTCATACTCTACCCTCAACTCACTCACTCACTCACTCACTCACTCATGGATCTCGCTTCTCTCCACTTCTCTTCTTCACTGCAGAGGATGTTGCTTCTCCTTCTTCTTCTTTCAGGTAATGAATGCTATTTACCCACCTAAATTATGCGTTAACACTACCAATATCTAATCCTCTTATGTTACTCACTTGCAGTTTCATTATTACCAAATTGGGTGTATTCACTTGGCATCAACTACGGTCAAATTGCCAACAATCTTCCCACCCCTGGCGCCGTAGTACCGTTGGTGAAATCCATCGGTGCCACCAGGGTCAAGCTCTATGATGCAGATCCACGTGTTCTTAAGGCATTTGCCAACACTGGCGTCGAGTTCATTGTTGGCCTTGGCAATGAGTACTTGGCTAAAATGAGAGACCCCAAACAAGCTCAAGATTGGATTAAAACCAATGTTCAGTGTCATTTACCTGCAACGAAAATTACATGCATTGCAGTTGGTAATGAAGTTCTCACTTTAAATGACTCTGTTCTATCGTCAAATCTTCTCCCAGCTATGGAAAATGTCCACACCGCCTTGGTCAACCTTAACCTCGATAAACAAGTTGTTGTCACTACGGCTCACAATCTGGGCATTCTTGAATTTTCTTATCCTCCTTCTTCGGGCTCATTTCGTAAAGATCTAGCTCAAAGATTGACTTGTATCTTGGATTTCCACTCCAAAACGGGCTCGCCATTTTTAATCAATGCCTATCCTTATTTCGCATACAAGTCGAATCCCAAACAAGTACCCATTGATTTTGTATTATTCGAGTCTGATTCTGGGATTACAGACGCGGTGTCGGGCCTGCATTATGGGAACATGTTCCATGCCCAAATTGATGCAGTACATTCTGCTATGGAGAAACTTGGGTACAAAAAAGTGTGCCTGCAGATCTCGGAGACAGGGTGGCCGTCGAAGGGGGATGCCGATGAGGCAGGGGCCACGCTGGATAATGCAAAGAAGTACAATGCGAATTTGCTGAAGCTGATTGCGGAGAAGAAGGGTACACCAATGAGGCCCAATTTGAATTTGAACATATATGTGTTCGCTTTGTTCAATGAGAACATGAAGCCGGGTCCAAGTTCCGAGAGAAATTTCGGGCTTTTCAAGCCCGATGGAACGCCAGCGTATAATCTTGGTTTCAACGCCACAAGTTTGGTGGGTTCGAACACGACGACGAGCCCCGGTGGTGTTGCCGGCCTTTCTCCGGTGCCGGGGTTTTCGCCGCCGGGAAGCTCCTCCAACGGCTACTTGGCCATCAGTTCTGACACGGTGAGTGTTTCTGTATTTATTAATTCCGACTTTTGCTTTTACTTTACTGCGCTTATGGTTCTGTGTAATGTGCGCGGGGGGTGGAGCGTAGGATAACAGCCGTGGTGCGCAGGATATCAAATGAGAGGATTAGGGTTAACATGGTGGGGGGCCCAATTGGCAAATGTTCCACTTTTGTTTCACACGTGGCAATGTATGTAATTTTAATGGGGATAAGGGTTAGTTTGGAAACTGTATATCACTAAAAAAATCAAATTATATAGGCAATGGTCACATTCATTGATGCCACATTGTGAATCTTTAGTTTTCGAAATGAGAAAAGAAAATCTTGATTCCTTGATTTGGTTGGTAATGTATTAGTACAAGTTCATGTGTATATTCACGAAAACTAAAGATGGATTGTTTCTTTTTAAGCATTGCCTTTGATTGGGAGGATGTGGTGATAGGAAAGATCAATTCGAGCTCTCTTGTTGAATTGCTTGTTCAATTTCGGAATTCTATAGTTCTTGTATTAGGAATTTTCCGAGTTACGTCGTAGTATTTTCTTGCATTGCTTGATGAAAGAGCACCTGTAGGAAAACAAAATGTCCAATCTATTTCCCTAATGACAAAAAAATGTTTGACTTGTGCATTTGAAATGTAGTGTAATTGTTGAGTTAAGCCATTTGTAGTACGTCACTTTTGACATCATCAAAGTTGGCATGATGTGATTGGTGAAAAAACTGTTTATTTTTTTAAACTGTCCAATGTCGTGTTGCCATGTGTCACATTAATGTAAAAAGTGATGTACATGTAGCACGATTCTAAATTGTTATCGTCGTGGTGTCTTAATGGCAGGAGCGACTACTTTTGCAAGGGACATTATCATTTTGGTGCAAGTTGTTTTCAACTATTATTGCATTCCTGCTTTATTAGCTGTTGATGTTTTGGAGGAATCAGAGGGGAATGTTCAATTTCAACCCAGTGGGGTAAAGTGAATAAATTGGAGTTAGAAAAAGGTGAAATTACGTTCCTTTGCACCTATATGATAATAATGTTAATTTCTTTCATTGCCTTCACATCACAGAAAAGTGCATCGACACCAACTTCCAATCTGATCGCTTCACCTAAGATCTATGCTTGGCGCTATTCTGTTTGATGCTGGCTGCTGTTTATGTTCATATGGCCGTGTTTAGTGATTTCTTAATTATGCTACCAGGAAAAGGTGGCCACATTATCTACATAGACCCAATTATGATTATGATTTTATGTACTATTTAATTAGTACTTTGTGCAAGGAATGGAATCGGGATCCTAGGAGTCTGCGATCGATTTGTCTACAATTACAATCATTATGTTGAAGTTTTGACAAAAAATACCTAACGAGAGCCCTCAAAAGTCGAAAAGGTTGCAATAATACACGGCCGAAAGTGCTTTCTTCTGTTGCTTTTTCTGAAAGATGCGTTTGGAGCTTGAAAAACGGTCGCTAAATAGGACGAAATTGGGTTTTCGAATAATAAATAGACGCGCCGGATTCGAAATAGATGCTATTCATGTCTTGTATTTTCCAAAAATTATTTATTTATTTAATCAACTAAAGCATTCGAAATGAGTTAGTATGGAACCTTCATTTAGAGGTGTCAATCCGGGCGGGTTGGGCCGGCCCGTCAACATATGAGATCGGTAACGGTCCGCATGAAAAAAAAGTCCGTCCACTATGGGTTCCAGGTCGGCCCACAAATTTTGGATTAGAACTCAGGCCCGCCCGCCCGCTGATCCATCCGGTTGAGCCCATACTGGTCGCGGTTTGCAGGTCGTGAGTTGTTTCAAGAATTTTTTATATTGATAGCAAATTTTTTTTTGTTAAATGTAAACTAAGAATTGAACAAAATGATAAATTTTTATTTATACCAAGAAATGTTTACATAGAATTCAAATTATATATTTGTTTCTCAATCAATCTTCATGAACTGTAAGATTTTTGAAAACATAGACCCAATTATGATTATGATTGTATGTACTATTTAATTAGTACTTTATGCAAGGAATCGGGATCCTAGGAGTTTGCGATCGATTTGTCTACAATTACAATCATTATGTTGAAGTTTTGACAAAAAAATACCTAACGAGAGCCCTCAAAAGTCGAAAAGGTTGCAATAATACACGGCCGAAAGTGCTCTCTTCTGTTGCTTTTTCTGAAAGATGCATTTGGAGCTTGAAAAACGGTTTTGGAATAATAATAAATGGATGCTATTTATGTCTTCTATTTTCCAAAAATTATTTATTTATTTAATCAACTAAAGCATTCGAAATGAGTTGGTATGGAACCTTCATTATTGGGATGTGCAAGTCCATGAATTAGAAAACACAAATGAAGTACTTTATTCTTGAATGTCTTGGACCAATTTCGTGTTTATAAATCTATCTTCCATTCAACTCACAGTGCCATTTTCTTTTTGAATAGTCATTGTGCAGATGATCATCATGCTCAAGCCATTGCACATGTTGCTACGACATAATGTACATGACACACTTTTCAAACAGGTGACCATCACACAAACCAACACGTGAAAACACTCAATGGGAACGTGCTTAATATCCTCCTGACATGATGCCAACAGGGGATAATGTTCTATATGTATGGTTTACATATAAGAAAAGGAAAACTAAAATCTTTATTATATAATACAATTTAACGCATACTAAACATGCTGAGAAGGATGGGATGGTACTAGACAAATATATCAAGGAAGGGAGAGAGTTAATATCTTGATTATTGTACTATCGAATTCCATCCACCCAATATCGCGTATAAAATGTGCAAAATAAGATCCATCATGCCATAGGTAAATAATAAATACTATTGATCAACAAAGTGCCTCAAGCAGCCATGCTTCTTGTAGTATCTAGATGTCATCCAAAACTTTTCTACATAAGAAATAATAGCCTCCCAATAAAATAATGCCCATCTCTCTTGGCAGCCACAATCTTATATCCTTTCTGTTGTCTGCATCAAAGCCTAATTCCATCAAGATTGCAAATATTGTGCAAGAACACCTTGCCCCATTTGTCAAAACTCCAATTATGGCACAGTTTAAGAAAATACCAAAGCATCAGAACCATGCAATTCAACAAGGATAGGTTACCGTCAAGATATCATTCAAATAGCGCCATGACCCTGCGATGTTTCACCAACCGTTCCATTCGTGTGACATTTAACTCTCCGGTAGAACAATACATAAGCAGCAGATGTCTTGATTTCAGACTCGGTGACCGGTGAAACATGAGCATCATCGAAATGATACCATCTATTGTCATCAATTAACTGCAATAAGAAAAAAATAAAATTGATGTAATCAGACCATAGGGATAATGGAGGGAGTATGATTTACTTCACAGATGTTTCAAGCAGCATGTCAACGAAAACTTCCAAAAAAGGGCATAATGTGGAGGCACATTGAACTCCCCAATCCCTTTTGAACCTAAAGAATAAATAACCCATTGGATCCAGAAACATTATTACATAATTATTCTTGAACCACCCAACCCACTCATTCACCACCCTTGTGGAAAAATAAGGATGAATGCTAGGTAAATAATTACCTTACAATATGCAGAATAGTGACCACCCCCAAGGCCCCCATAATGATTGCTAATAGCATATAGCTCATACACATGTGAACCTTCAGATGCATCATTGCTTTTCACATATTTGCTTAAATCCAAATTATGGATGGGAAAATTCACGAAGGTGTCCAGTTTGTTCTTCAGCCATCGGCTATATGAGAATCGCTTCAAGTGAAAGACAAGTACATCTGGCAACCTCCACAAATCCAATTTTTTAGTTGCTTGCCTATGTTCTTTGCATCGAGGACAATACCTGCAGCCAATTGTTTTAAGAATTTTATGGAAACATCAACAATGCCAAACAGAAGTTTACAGAAAACAAGATAGTTCAAGGTATATAGTCTACCATACCACATATCATCAGGGCCAAGAGGTTCCTCTTTCAGAAAGGCATCCAAGCAGGAAAACAAAGAGATGGCTTCCTGCTTGGTTTTCTTAGCTGCAACTCCTGTCTTGAGAACTTCAGGAAGATCCCTGAGAAAGCTGGCGTCATATAACTCATGTTCTTTGTCAGTCCACTCTAGGATGACTTTAACCATTCTGCCAGGTTTTATGGGTGACTCCTTCACAATTGACCTGAAACTTAAACCTCGATCATCGGCGAGGAAAAGCCGTAATGACAACTCACTGATGGACATTCCTTCCGGTTCTATATCACATGCTGATTGGATCCCAGGTCTTAACACAGTGCTACTGCAGTCATTTCTCTCTCCTGGTGCATCTAAAGCATAGCCATTTTCCTGCCCACTATGAACTGGTACTGGAGGGATAAATGCTTTCCTTCTTAATGGCGAAAGCATTCTGTTAACAGCAAGCTCGATATCAGCTCCACATTGCAGATCTTCCAACGAAGTAACTAATGGTGTCAGAAAGTGCTTCCTATCGCTGGAGAAAAAGATGTATCTTGGTCAAAATAAGCAGAAACTGAAGAGATATATTACAGGGAATAAGTTAAAACATTTTGGCACATATCAGATATTTATTCATAATACTTTTGATCCATATTACCTGACTTTATGTGGAGAAATTTTACGGTAATATTGTTTTTTCATGACATGTAAAAGATTATAAATAGGTCCACACTCATGAGACCACCACCACCATTTTACATGCAAAATAGAGGCCATCTAAAGCCATTGCTAGGATAAAATTCGGAATTCACCCACCATCTTCAATTTGAATTTTTTTTACAACAAAACAAAAGTAGACTTGTGATTTGAACAGACCATAAATGTAAAATACTCGGTAAAACATTTCTAGCCAGCCATAACAAAGGCACCCTTCCAAGGCTTGCAATTCTTGTTAAGCCAAGTTGACACCTTTAATTATAAGAGAAAGTAATAGATTCTTTTTTTGTACCACAAAGATTAGTTCTTTTGCAATTACACATACAATCATGTCTGCAATGAAACCGCAACCGGAAGGGAAAAAACTCACATTTCATAGCGTCGGTGACATATCTCTAGTCTTGTTACCTCCGCTCCACCTTTAGGGAGTCTGTAACCAACAATATGTTCATCATCCTTTATTGAAATCAATGCTTCTGATGGATTTTCCAGGTACTTGTATATCCGATTTTCATAGACCTGCAGATTGAAATTTCACTGCTTCAGATGAACTAGGGTATGAGGATACAAGCAAAATCCGCATACAATCATGGACAAAATAGAAAATATATATAACCTTACCTCAGCAAGGAGCAGATATTCATCACTTTGTAAGCAACATGCAGCGCTTACAGCCTGGATAAGATCTTTGCAGCATCCTTGCTTCAGGACAGTAACGGTGAATGGCATAGGAAGCCCACTTCCATTGCCGTAAAACACTGTTACCGTCATTGTCCGAGTGGCTACTGAAGGAAGAGGCAAGGACAGGTACATGAAAGGATCAAACGTTATCGAGATTTTGCTGCAAACTGGGCAGACCAGTGTGGATTTGTATTGGCCCTGCGCAATTCCATCAATTTCAAATACTATAATAAAGATGGCCTAGAGAAATATCAACGGTGCAATGTACTTACTAGCGAATTTACTTGAATAAGAAATTCAAAGTCATAATGTAGAAAACTGTTGGAATTCATATATTTATAGTAAGCAGCTTCCAGGTCAAAACAAAATTTCTGAAGACAACAAAAGAATGATGCAGCCCTGACAAAATAAAAATTTCGATGGAACTATCTGAGACTGCCTCATTTTCAGCTAGTTTGTGAAGGCATATGAATTGCATGAGAGGCTCAAGTTAATACGATTATACAAGGATATTTTGATCCAAATTCATAAGATTCAGAAATTCAAACCGTCTTTAGTATATTCTCAAGCAAGGGTGGAGCCAGGACTCGGCCTTAGTGGGAGCAAAATTTAAGACTTTTCTTTTTCAAACAAGACAATAATAATAATAATAATAATAATAATAATAATAATAATAATCATCATCATCATCATCATCATCATCATCATCATCATCATCATCATCTTACAAGTTTCTACAATTGTTCCTTACTGGTTTTCATCCTTAGAATATTCCATACGATAATTTCATTATCAATTTCCTATAATACATTTTTTCAACATACACAACAAAACTGTCATTTTCCTACTACTTGATTTCTTTACAACATTTTAAGTGCGTTGAATTACATAAGTGTACTTATCTAGGCAGTCGAGCTAAATAAGAAGTATGCAAATCAAGTTGTGCTACCTAAAAACTAAGCAACACGATCAATATTTTACAAAATATTAAAACTTTTATTACATTATTTTCTTCTTTAATCATGTTCAACTGTATTTTGGGCATAAAATACCTGAAACTAAAGTGTGGAAAATAAGAAACTCAAATGTCTTATTGTAATACTAGTCAAAATAGTCAAATAAAATCAAATTAAACTAAGAGAAAAGTAAACTGATAAGCCCCAATCAAGTACAACTATTCTAGAAGGATCAAGAAGACTGGAGAAGGGGAGGGCAGCAACAAATTCGGTTAGATGGGCAGGCTGAGGTGGACAAAAACAGTAGTTCTATAAATAGAGAAGGGAATAGATAGGGAAGGGAGGCTTTTATGTAGTGAGAAGTGAGACCCTTAGGAGAGTTTAGCCCTCTCAAATGGCTATTATTTCTTTTCCAGTTCTGTAATTTTCTTCAGTTTTCATCAATCAAACAGCAGTTTATTCTCTGGTTCTGATTTTGTTCTCAAATTACAGTTAGAACCCTAACATAAACATGAGTCAAGCAAGTGAAAACTAGAAAAAGGAAAAAGAAAGTAAAAAGCAGTGAACAAGTCTTAAAGTCTTTGGGTTATTCTCCTTATTCAATGAAGATAGACTTATAGTGAGAGAAGAAAGTAGAGTGAGACAAGCAACAAACAAAAAACAAGGGAGAAAAATCCAAAATAAAGCCTGAAAAGGAGGAAAAAAGAGAGAGGAAGAAAAGCTGGAAAAGGAAAGAGAAAAGGCATTAGCATAAACCTGGCCTTTATTTTAATTGTTGAGTTATAACAAAAGGTAAGAACAAATTAAAGAAATATGAAATTCACAAAACAGTGTGCGCATATGCATAGNGGGGGGGGGGGGGGGGGGGGGGGGGGGGGGGGGAGAGTAGGGAAAAGAAAAAATATCTTTCAACTTGCAGATGACCATGCATGCCTTTTAATTTCTTGTCTTTTTCTTGCTAGTGTAATACCCAACTGAACCAATTTTTTTGGTCCAAATCCAGTGAGGGCAGTCACCTAACTGGATCTCAGGTGACTCCACCCCTGTTCTCAAGCTCATACAATTTAGTTATACAAGTATACAGACTCCTACTTAGTAATATCATTTCACATGCAGACATTCAAATTGATTAACATTAAGAATATATAGGAACAAGATGCCAACCTGGCAGACGTCAACAATTACAGAGTCATTTCGGGCCTTGTGGTATCTCCAAAACTCTTCTGCAACTTCTTCATCAGGCCGACCATCAGAATCCTTTGTTTCTATGTATGGTTTCTGCTTTACACGATTTAAATCTTCATGCAGCCCATCAAGTAAAAAGGCAAGGAGCTCCTGAAGAGAAATATACATCATCCTTCTAGTCAAATAAGAGTTAACTTCGCTCAATGACAATTAGAGCATACCATCTTCAAGTACAGCATATAAGATAGACAAGAAACAAAAGCTACCAATTCTACTTCTTTAAGTCACTTCATATAATTCCACCTTATTTGAAGCATCATTTTTGTAATACTTCTTGTTATTCAAAGTAGAACATAACTTCACCCGGTATTTTTAGATTTACCTCGAAGGGTGATGACATCTTAAAAACAACATCATAACTATGAAAAAGACTATGTTTAACCTTGAAACAATATTATTCTTCCGCAATAATAATCCCTTAGCCTTGAAAATATATTAGTCACAACTATCAATAGCCTCAAATACGTTGTAAGAATTATGCAGTAATATAATAATAGAAGTACTACAAATGTGCTAGTGAATTTACCTATCAAAAAAAAATGTGCTAGTGAATTCACTATGAAATCAAACATCAATAAGACTACAAATTTACTATGAAATTGCAACAAATGTACTACATACGCCAATTATAGCATCATGTCAATATACTTATTTCCCAATTGTACCATGTACATAAAAAACAAACCTGTGAGTCATGCTGGTTATACCCACTGAACTGGGGAGCGAAACGAGCAAGTTTTCCCTTAAAAGAACGAGGAGCAACTGGAGTCCTACCGGAGGACCACAGTTTCCTCAACAACTCACCAAATGCAAGCGCAAGCTCACCCTGCAGAACTACAACAGAAATTAGTAACCTAGAGAGCAACCCACATCCTAAATCTTTCAAAATAGATCAGAACAGCCATTACATGCATCCCAAGAGGATTTTGTCTGTTGATCTGCTCACTGTAATCTTCCAAGAAATACTCAGCCAGGGGTGGTGTGTGAACTAAACACTGGATAGAACTATTCATGAAGCAAGTGTTCCCCAGATTCTGCAATCCTGCCAAACCTCCCTTGTCACCTCGTTGTATCGGTCTCAAGCTCTCATATCCATCCTCCATATCTCCAAATGTGGAACTTAAATTATTTCGATGATACATATTGGAGACATAAGCAGTTGAATAACCATTTGACAAACTTGGGCCACCAGCAATTGTAACAGATGATGTTGGAGGTTCTACTGGAACCAAGGCTAAACCATTTCCAGTTGAATCCATGCCAAACCCATCAACTAGCACCTCAAGAAGAATCTGCAGAGAGAACGAGAGAGACCCGTCAGAAAACAGAACAGTTTTTACAATCTTTTCAAAATAAAATAAAGGAAAAAAGAAAATCAAAGATTAGAAGAGGCACTAAACACACATTTCTTAGACAATTCATTAATGCAACTTTCATGCAAGAGATTTATTCTAACATAACCTACGAGCAAGCTTTTAGTGTTGATTGCAACAGCTGCACAAGGTTTTAAAAGTGCTAGCTGGACTGAGCTTTAGGCTATTCAAGCTCAAACTTACATCATAAACGAGCCTAAAGAACTCAAGCTTCACCCAGATACTCTAGTCGGTCTAGAATGAGTTTCTGTTTAGGTGAAATTGGGCCAAGCTTTAATTAATTCAAGAAATACGCAATAATTATTAACCTGATGAGCCAAGCTCAAGTCGAGCATATATAAGTTGCAAGTTCAAAAATGAGGTCCAGCCTGGTTCGTTTCAACTGCCAAGCATTACTAGCAAATTTACAACATGGAGGAGACTCATGTTTGGCTAAAAGCTTAAAAGATTCAGTTATTGTGTCAAAATTCAAAATGAATAATTTTTATTGATCAAAATTGAAAAGAGGGCAAGGTGCTTATTTTGAGAGTAGGGTAAGAAAAACATAACTTGCCCAACATGTTTGGCATTGACTTTTACTTCTTTTTAATCTTAGCTCTTAACTTAAAATGAGAGACACAGCGATCAAAAAAGGGTCATACCACAAACTACAAATATTTACTACTTCGTGCAGCATCAGCTCACATTAGATATTTTCTTTTTGGAACCTAGCTCACATTAGATGTTCGTTATATGCATAAAAAGTAAAGAATTTTAATAACTCTTTCATCTCATTTTTCTCCTGTAAAGAATAAAGATTAGAAGAAATGAAGATTGCAAGATATCCACATATTTTAGAGCAGCAGTAGGATAAGCTGCAAATGCATAAACTTGTTAGACACAGCCCTGTTAGGTACAACGTTAGCAACAGAAATTGCTCTCATTCATCCAAATAATCATCCGATATAAAGAGTTGCCATTATCTGACTTTTGTGAACTCACATCTTGATCCATCTGCAAGTTAGATTCCTCCAGGGTTTGGTTTGAAGGGATCAAAACTGTATGCTTCCGCTTATTGAAAAAGTCCCAGATACGTGCCTGTTGGTGTCAGTAATAAAAGAAAGGAAATTATAATCAGTTCAATATAACCATGACTAAAATAATAGTGAAAATATTTGCAAGGACTACTAAGAAACACACCTTTTCTCGGACTATCCCTTTAAGCTGACACACTGTCTCAAATAGATCATGTAAAGAAGCCTGACACAAAACATCGGAGAGAAGTTGCTCAGCTAAGAAGGACCTCAAATACAACATTGAAAGAAAAGTTGCTTTCAGAGAAGGTTCCATAACAACAAAAAGCTAAGACTGCTCCAATAAATTTGGGTCACCTATATAAATCTTCATTCGCCATTCCATTATGTTTATTGATAGATTTATTGAGAACCGAAAGAAATTAGATCCTCAACAACTACCACAGGCCAATTTAATTGTGGCCTACCCCTCTCTCTTCTAACTTGCTTTATCGAATTGCATCATTCTTGTGAAGGGGAGCCTCTTTCTGTCGTCACAACAAATGGCCCAACCACCGAAATATTCCTTCTCTTCAATTATCTTCAAGCAACGTTGCCGCCACTTGTTAAGAGTATATTCTCGTTTCCCAAAAAGTTATTGTTTCAGGTATCTAGATTTGATTATAATCACTGTGTTTTTCTTTTTATTCTTGAGCACAACAATTATACATGCTATTCTTTAAGCAATACATCTATCTCCACATATGGTTTTGTATGATGGGAAAGAAAATGACAACGACCAGACTCTCAATTTTAGGATAACCACATCAACTGGTAGTATTATGTGTATCCACATAAGTATAGATATGTCATCACTGTGCACCTCTGACAAACTCAACAGCATATTCGTACAGACAGTTTGAATGCTAGATTATGCTAGAAGGCAAGTTCCTGATAAAGATAAAATGTGATAAACTTGTAAAGAACATGATTATAAATGCATGCTAGGGAATTATGTTTATCCCTTATGTGCTCCATCTGCACCCAGGAAATTGAAAGGAAACAATTACAGGAATACCAGGTTATTACCTTGTTAATGCAAAGAAAAACAACAGCAAACAAACATTAAATCTAAAACTAGGTAAAATGTAGCAACAGATGTACCTTTTTACTTGACCTTATAATCACTTCACTCTGGTCTCTGGAATCTATTAAAGAGAGACACAGGGGGAAAACCTCCACACTGAAATGCTTCTGTTGTTCTCCCTGAGATATCATTTTCCGAGGCAATGCCGGCCCTCCTTTGTACCTAAGGACCATCAAAATACAAAGATTAAAAATAAAATAAATAAATAAAGCAAGTTGAGAAATATAAGACTCGGATCCTTAGGATGTTAACACGTATTCTTATTATAGTAGGGGAATCTAGATTCCTCCCATTTTTGAGAGAATTTAGTGTTTTTTTTTAGGGAGGAAAGGGGAGAGAGAATCTATTGAACCTTCCATTTTTCGAACAGTTTGTGAACTCTCATTGACAAAGACCTTGTTTGGTGCACATTTTGGGTAGAATAATGCATTTTGTTGATGTGATGGATGGGGAATATGTGGTTGAAAAAGAAGGAAAAGTTATTGATGTGATGGAAAATATTATTTTATTGAAGAATGTGTGGTTGGAAATGAGTAGAAGAATGAAAATGAAAATATTAATGTGGACCAAACAGGGGCATAGCGTTATAAATGGCAAAAAGCATCAACCAGAATAATTACCACTCCAAAAGCTTCTCCCAAACTTCTTGCGGAACTAATACATAATCACGCCCTTCTTCTAGAGTTCTAAAAAGCTGCGGATCATCATCCTTATTATCCTTTCCATTTGCAATTACATCAGAGTTATCAATTGGTCCAGGCCTAGCTCCTGAATTTGTTGATATCAAGGACTCGGATTCAAATAAATAAGCACCATCTGTTTGCAATGTGTATCTTTCCCAGACACTGAACCACCTGCACAATGAACCGAGAGTAACAGATTTATGAGGATTTCTACAAACAGGAAAATTTCATTAACTGGGCGCCACGGGCCACATACACTCAGCCTCATGTCCGAGTATCACAGACAACAAATTTGATGTTTAGCACAAGAAGGAAAAAACTATTCCATCAAACAGTCGTAGGAAAACAGCCACATCAAAGCTGAAAAGTCAGATATTATGTAACAATATTTCTCCAAATCAAGCACAATCATCAAATTTAACTAAAATAAAAACATCCATCAATTCGATTCAAAGCACATCTAAGTTCAGAAAGTGGCACTGCTTTGCCAGATACAGAATCTTAAAAACGCAACATTCTAGTTTACAAGCGCCAAGTGATAATTGATACAGAAAAAGGTATGAGCTTGTTTGGTACAAATTAAAATCAGATTTTAATCTAAGTCAAAGTCAAAAAATCAATATTAGCCACATCTTTCATGTCCCACAGCTTTTCAACCGCACATTTCAAAAATTTCTATCAAAATCTACTAAAAATCTAATTTTAATCCCCACCAAACACCCCCCATATCATATTTTAAGAGAAATTCTTGATGATTAAACTGAGGTTTTGTTAGCTATGCTATTTATCCATACTGTTTCAGAGACCAAGTTGAAAGTCCAATGAAGTAATGTTCAAAAAACAGCTACAATTGCAATTGCATATTCAAGGTTAACCAATAATTCTCTGTTGCGAATGCCTATTTCTTCAACCCCCATCCCATGGAAATGGACTCCCGGGAAAAGGAGTCAAAATCAGAAAATACTAAGAGAAATCCCAAGTTCCTAAACAGTTCCAGCATTTCATAAAGAAACCAAATACACATCACTACAGATACAAGATATGCATATCCATAACTGCACATTGAATAGACTTGGATCTCCTCACGAATAAAACTCACATAGGAAAACAATTCTGGAACAAGAATAAATAATTTCGGATCTCCTTATTGATACAAACTATGATATAACTCAAATGCTTCGGAATAAGTACATAAATCGACTAATAAATAAAAGAGAAGAACTAAAACAAAAGAATAATAATTAGATATAATTCAAACCAAAAGCTAACTTAAATCAGTTACCTTTTAGATATAACATAGTACAAATTGTCTTCGCGCAAACTATTCTCAGCTTTGGCTGTCAAATCCTGAACAATCCTCCACTCTTCCTCGGGCTTGCATGGTAAGTCTATCGATCCATTCTCCATCATGTAATTGTACCCAGACGAATCCGGAATCGTCATGATCTAATTAATTATAAAATTCCACACCACATCCAAATAAACAAAGCTTAGAAATCAAATCATTCATTACAAATAACTAAAAAAATCCAACTCGAAATGTTCAGAAATGAACGAACCGCAGATCGGAGAATTTGCGAGAGAGAATGTAATTAATGAAGAAATATAAAAATAATCGTCCGCAGAGAGAGAAGTATAGAAATGGAGAGAGACTTGAGGAACCCTAGATTTCTGGTTTCTCGATTTGAATCTTTGATCGAAATATAGATAGAGAAAATCGAGAGAAAAGTATTTTCAGGTCCTTTTTCCCGATTTTCAACTCTTCCTCTTTATGTTTGATGGTGCGGGATTTTTAAAGGTTAGATAAATTGCACGTTTAGTCTTCGACCTTGTTTTCTTGTGCCAAAAACAATCTTTTTCTACCACTTCTTCCGTAAAAAGGACGCTCCGTACATCATTACCAACCTTTCCTATTTTCAAATTTTTACTATACGTGCTCATTTTCAATCATACATTCAAATAATAAAATATTACGTAGATAAACTCAAATTTTTTTTCACTTTTTAATCACATATTCTACTAAAAATTACTATTCAAATCATGATTTTTTCCATACAATTTAGGCTTAATTCATATGGGACATTAGTAAAGATGAATTGTGTCCATTTGGACGCGTTCAATTGGAAAATTTAAAATGAAAAATATTTTTCAACTTTTAAAAATATGCCTATTTTGTTTTCCTAAAAAATAAGGTAAATATTTTTCATTTTATGCTATTTTTTTTGAAAATATAGTCGTTATTGGTCTCATTCGTCTTGATTGTTTGCACCGGCCTTTTTTTTTTTTTTTTTTNGTTCTGCAGCCTGCAAGGCAGAAACTTAAATTACTCAGTTCAGAATTGATCTAAGAAAGCTGCACATTGGTTTCCAAACTTGAAAATTGTCCTGAATAACTGGGTATGACCAAGTTTTGATTCCTCTATATTCTTTATGGACTTATTTCAAGGTCCTGAATTTGTTAAAACTCTCCGGCCCTGTTTGGGAGGAATTAGATTTTTCTACATTAAATCAACTCTCATTTTCAACCACACATTTTTCAATAAAATAATATTTTCCATCACATCAATAATTTTTTCTTCTTTTTCAACCATAAATTTCACATCAATCTACTATTCCAGAATACATTCTTCCAAAATAATGTGGCTCAAACACTCCAAAAATGTGTAATTTAGTGGGTGTGGTTTTTTCGATTTTATGGGTAGGCCTAATTGGAATGGGCCGTCCTTTCTATCTCAAACTAAACAAATGGGCCCTTACAGCTAATAGGCCCGTTTCAATTTTTACTTTGAAGAGGTAGAAAGTATCACAAGGGCATATGCCGCAGAATATTCCCAACCCAAATTAGAAGCATACACAAAAAATGTACCCGTAGAAGCATCTACAATGCTGCACTTCTCACTTCATCCCCCATGAGGTTTGTTCCTTTTGAGAGGGTCAAGAATTTGATACTTACCTTACATTTGATAAATTATAACCATGGGGAATCAAGTTTCAACAGCAGTTCAAAATCAAAACTATTTTACGCATTTTAAGTACGCTGCCCGTGTGTCCAAATTTGACATTCCGAAAATACATTATGCCCTTGTTTTGGGAAAAATGATTTAGAACTTACGAAATTCATTCCCTTGTACAAGGGGAATAACCCATATAAGTAAGAGGATAAATTAGTATTGGACTTTTCAACATTTCACTTAATGTGGTTACAATTCTCAACCTTCGAAAGTGAGATTTTACGTCCCACTTTGTTTAAATTGGTCAAACCAGATCATAGGTGACCGAAAAATAGCCAACGAATCGTTAAAATCTCATGTGATTTTCACATGACGAGAACTAGAGAGAAAGATTGTCAAACCACTTGACAGTAGTTATCTCCGCGTGCAATTTTTATATCTCAATTTATGATTTTATGACTATCTGAATTTTGAAAGATTTCATCAAATTTCTTAAATGAACCCGTAATTTAAAAGTAGGATAATTATGTATTTTTTCCCAACTCTAAATCATTTAAACTTCTGAATAATTATGCCTAAATATGTATAGACGATAAAAGGATGTTAGATCCTATTAATTCGGACTTCGTTTAGCTTGGTCCATATTAAATTTGATCCAAATAATTAATTCTAGAGAAAAAACCATATGTACCCGTTAAAATAAAAACAATTCATTATATATTTACTGAATTTCACATAGAATAAAACTTTCCCATTTTGTGAGTATGTATGTAACTGAAATTATAGAGACTTTACATCACTCTGGGCTTTAAATAATATTGCAATTGAATGGGGATTTCAAAACCAGTTTGTTTTGTGTCCAAAACGAATGTATAGTTTGTAATTACCATACATTGTTCGTCTGTGGGTAAAAAAATAAAGTCATCAAAATGGGCATCATCAGGTGCGTAGTCTTCCTCCTATGAATTATTGATAAAGTTTTGAGAATTCTTTGTACAAGTTTGGGTGGATTGGTTTACAGATTCGCCTAACTATCATATATGTTATTTCGAATATTCCATTTAAATTCTAGTGACATGTTTGTGATGATATCTGATTTGTTGGGTTGTAGGTATGGAATTCATGAACGTGTTCATCACATACAATACTTGGTCTACTCATGCCTTCTAGTTGCAAGTTTGTAGACCTTGTCGCAATGATATCAAACTGAATTAAGGATGTATGTGAGGATGGTGGGTGATAAGTGTGTTTTTACACACTTATTTAGCACTTTTTGTATTTAATTGGGATTTAAATTGAGTTGATTTCTATACATAATTGTGTAATTTTGTATGTTGAAGGCTTTGTACCCTAATTCGCGAAGAA